TGCGTTGATGCTGATGATATGTTTACTATTAGACATATGATGTGTTTTGTTTTACAGTATCAGAAAAAAAACATATACGGCAAAACTTTAGACATTTTTTTTATGAAATCATAATAACATTAGCTTTTAAAGAGTATTCATGGTTCTAAGCAAGGTTATATTATAGTCATTTATTGTATCAGGAATAAAGTGACATAATATTAAGGAAAAATTTATCTGTAATAAATATAAAGAAAAAGAGAGTTGATGATTTATGAGTGTGGTTATATATTTATACAGTAAAATAAATGAGATTATGGACTTGCATTTGAATTTTCTAAAATTCCTAATTCGGGCAGAATAAGAAATAGAATGTAATTTACGTCATGATTGCGTCCCATATTACTTTGACCTATTTCTATTATTTTCTTCATTTTTAATTTCCTTTGCATTTAACAACAAATGTAATAGTCACTAGAGATAAAATTAGCAGGGAATTTATTTTTTTATGATACCATTTATATTAAGAATGATTCATAAATCAGTAGAACAAATTTAATTTGAGTTTAATTTATATTCAGACTAAAATTACAAAGAGTTGTCTGGCCTAGTAAGTTAAATGAATTAATACATTTCCTTACCATGGCATGGTAGTAACTTTCTAAAATTTGGGTCATTTACAAATACAATAGGGCTGGACTGACCTATCTTGTAATTGTTAAACATTGATGGAAGTAGATGGCAGAAAAAAAATAGCTAATAGTTTGGATCGAAGATTTTTTTTTTTGTTTTTTGTTTTTTGTTTGAAGAATCAATTTTATAATCATTCTAAATTCAATTCCTCTATGATATTAATAGAGAGATTTTGCAAACATGTGTTTCCTCCGATGAAATGACATCTATAAATATTAGAGTCACTTCACCAACTATGCCAATATGTTTCTTCTTAGCATGAAATGGATTTTCTGGGCTTTCGTGGCAATCTGCATGTGGAGTGAAAAAATCGAGGGCAATTACCAAAACCAGGACACCATATTATTAATGTTTTTATGATTCAAATTCATTTTAAGGGCTTTTGTTACGATCTGTGTGTAGACCATAATCGGTGTAATACAATCAGCTGGAGTAAACAAAAATTCAGGACATTCACTGAAACCACTCTTTTGAGAATAAACTTGATTGCTTGGGCTTAATATTCAAATCTGCATCTAAAATACAAATCTAGTATTTGAGATACAGGTTTACCACGTGTAAATATGGAGCGTTAGAATTGGGACGATTGCAGAAAGCAGATACGATTCTTTGCATCAGTCAGATTTGTATGATGACAAGTATTGAAAATCTGGATAGTTTCAATTATCAACAGATATTTTCAGTATGATAGTAAAGTCTCCAGGGGCACCATCATTTCGTTCGTATTGATTGGTATTGATCTTGGCCTGATAAAGTGTTTTAAGTGTTCCATCTTGAAGTTGAAAATATGAACACTTATCAATATCATAAGGATTCTTAATAGTACCTTTCTGGTAATTTTTCAAACAAATATTTTTTTTTAAATCAAAAGTTTTCCACAGCAGAACATATACTGAAGTAAAAGGTTTTTTTTTTTTTAATAAATGCCTGTATCTACCATATTGAATAGCAGTCAACTATGTTGCTGAAGATAATTTAAGAATTTTACTTAAGAAATATATTTTTAAATGCTTATGTAATTACTGGCATTTATCTCATATTTGCATTTGTTTATGTTTACTGCCTCAGTTTTTTTGTAATTCATGGTATCTTTCCAAATAAAGTGCTTTTGCATTGAATTTGCCCAACAATCTAGAATAATAAAAGTTATTGAAAATGTGTACTTCCTAGTTGTAATTGATCATAGTGATATATATCTATATAACTAGAAATTCAACATCTATCCAGCTCTTATTAAATTATTATTTTAAACAATAAAGAAATAGTTGGGTGTCTCGATTTTTTTGAGATTTCAACTGAGGGCTAGCCTAGAATAAAGATTGCTACCTTGATACATACGTCCGCCACATGCATACATGATCATGGCACCACTGCTTATTCGTTTAACAGTGGTAGTAATCTTCTGTTTTTAAATTACAATTGTCAAATGAATGAAAGTTTATGGTTTATATGCCCAAAAATGCACATCTTTGATTTATTGGGAGTTTGCTATGCTTTTTTTTTATTGTTGTAGCTTCTTCGGTAATTTCATTACTTGATTTTGAGACAACTACATTAATGCACTGGACCAACGCCAAAGTCCGTTTCTTAATTAAAGTGTGGGATGACGCAGCTGGGTGACTCCAGGGTCCAGGGCAACTTGATAGAAACTCATCATTTGTATAATACCTTGGGATTTACGTCCGAGATTTGTTTTTTTGAAAGCCGAGTTCTGCATGAACCGGTAGACCCCTATGTAACTTTTGCCCGTTCTCTCCCTGGACAAGTGCATCTTGAGAACTCTAGGTAAAGTTCCTTGCCAAAGACCAAGCAGAATGCACAGCATGAGATTTGAACCCACAACTTTATGTTAAGAGCCTGAATTGCATCCACTGTGCCACATCAACGAATTTTGGTGATTTTTTAAATTTTTTTATTTATTGGAAGAATATTATTTGATCATTTAAAATGAGTTAGTATTTTTGAATATGTTTCTATATTTTATGATAATGGTATATAGTAAATTTAATTTGTTGTGTATTATAAACATTTTTAAATTTGGTATTAATCATTTCATTTCAATACTGATTATAAATCCCATACAAGGTTAACTGAAATTTTACACCAGATAATATAAATAACAAACATATTGTTACCAAAACAAAAATTGAATTTTAAGTATGCTTTAAGAATTAGGTAATTTCTAAAGAACAATATTCTTTTTGTGGAGGTGTGTTTGTGTTTAGGTATTTTAAAGTTTATGTAAGACAGTATGCATGAAAAACATAATATAGTTGTGTTCATTTGCTATCTTGTATTAGCATGCTGGAAGCTACTACATGTACTGTATATTAATACTATGTGTGTGTTGCGTGCAGGTGTTCAGTTTTTTTTTTTAACGTTTTACTTCACAACATCCATCATTGATGTTAAAACCTACCTGGGGGCTATGTACACCTGTACGGAAAAATTAAAGGACAAATCCAGTGGCAACGATTTGATAACCATTATGAAGGTTAAGATGAAGTACCTTAATGAGATGGTCACTGTCGAGAGATGAACGGGAAATAAAGCGCATATTAAACATTAGCTTTCGTCACTATATCCTGAATAAATTCCTTTATTAAGCATGGCGCCAGTCTCACTAATAACTCATCCCTGGGTCGTTGAGTGATACGATTAAGCTAAATGCACTGGATAAATTTGTGTTAGATGACGGAACAGGTTACGTTTGAAACGGAGCACCATCTTTGGGGAGTATTAGGCGCGGTATGCTTTTGAAGTTGATGTATGAAAATATTGGAGATGCATTCATGATCGTGGAGGCGTAAAACCTCTGTTTTGATTTTCATTGATTAGTAAAACGAATAACGACCTAAATCTAAAGCAGTTCTAATATAATTTGATTTCATTTGATACAGGTTGCATATGTTATTATTAAATTTCTATTTGATTATCCTTTGCAATCATCATGTTTTAAGTTGATTATTAAAGAAACTATTTGTTTTTATGGCACACCAGACCTGTTAACTATAATGTGTCAGTATAACACACCGGTTTTAAAGATAAACTATTGGTGTTGATACAATGAAGGCCTACAACATTAAACTTGAAGACTAAATTGCTCAAGTGCTTCTTTCGTCAATTTCCAATAACACAGAATTTGCATCACAAAAATAAAATTGTTTGCCTAGAATTTTTTTTGGTCTTTATAAGCATTATTTTGTGTATGTAATTAGAGAAGACAAATAAATTAATTATAACCCCAATCTTGGATATCAAAATTACGTAATTTGATTTTAATTTTTTGCTTTGAATATTAATTTTGCTTACACATACAATGAGCTAGACAATATGGCATTCTATATCAAATTGTTCTACTAATTGTTGTTTAAAATTGTTACAAAATATTATGATTAACCATTATTTTTTTCAAAAAATCATACAACTATTATTTTTATAAACTAACAAACAAAACTCATATTCAGTCTAGAAAAATTATTAAAAATTCCATGTTCTAATTTGGCCTAGTATGTTATTATAATAAGAAGATATCAATTTGTTCCATTGCTGTCATACTGTTGGGAAGAATAATGGATGCAATAAAACATAAAACTGTAGACATAAGCATGATAACCTATAAAGTTGTAACAATGACTTCATTCTATAGTAGTACAGTACATAAAAAGGAAGGCAAATATTCAGTGGGACAGGGGATTGTGAAATAATTTTGTGCTGGTGAACAGTAAATTCCATTGATTATTAACAAAGTAATAGTGCATTTTTATAATTCTGTACTAATGTATGAGATAAGATGTGATCATTGATTTGTTATTTCAATATGTGGCAAAGACAAGGCAAACTAGTCACTCCTTTATAATGCAGGGTTAAGCAGTAAGATGAAAGTTATAAAATGGTAAAAGAAAAATTTAAATCAGACATTTTATTATGAAGTTACAGGAGTTTAAACATACAGCTGTTTAAAGAACAGTTTTTGAGAAATCAGCCTTTAAAGATTTCTCATGCAGAGACCATCACCACATCATAAAAAAATGATGTTTTGACATTAAAAATGAGGAAAATAACAACATAACATGATGAATAGATCTATAAAATTTAGTTTAGTGCAATAAAATAGATTTACAAAATGTTGACATTCCAAAATGTTTTGGCCATTATCTCAGAAACACAATTTGCAGCGAGGAGTGACTGGTTTGGCTTGTCTTCGCCACATAACCTGATCTTTAATATTTATACAATCTCATATTCCAAACTAGTAGTGTTTGTTACTGCAGTTATGTAAACAAATCTGGTAATTTTTCAATAATATTTTTCTCTCTTTTTAGAAGTTGAACCATTGCAGCCATTGTACTTTAGAGTTGAGCCTGTCGATGTCACCGTGAAACGTGGCGAGACGTTCACGATGAACTGCTCCGTGAATCAGAACGATGCAGACTATTTTTGGATGAGAGACGAAGAGGCGGTAAGCTTCTCCGATCCTTTGAAAACAATTTTACCGACCGGTTCTTTGCAAGTAACGGTACCAGCTGTCCGGCAGTCAACAGATACCACCTCTGGCAGCTACCAATGTCATGCCACAGTCAACGAGAACACAATTGTAAGCCAAGTTGGGAATGTTCAAATAGCAAGTAAGTACCACTACTAAAAGAAATGTGCAGGCATACCAGGGGCAGATCCAGAATTAAACACGGGAACGTGTTCCCAGGTAGAATGTTCGTATCCATATCCAATTTGTGGTGCACCCATATAATTAGCTGTTTACAAAAGGATATCAATCAACAGGGTTTCCCTAAAGTGATAATTTTTTTTCCAACTTGAATAAATAAATGTTTTTAATCCAAATTTTATCTTTTTACTTGGATAATTACAGATGGGCAGTGTAGCTCATTCTAGTCTATTGTTTTTTTGGCCTGTAGGATTTTCGATAGAATGAAGTACGTTATGTATATTATAATTATGGAGAAAAGCTATCTATGTTTTGTGTTGTATATGTTGGAAAACTGCGGTACACTGTCTTATACATATTATAGTCATTGTTCATTTTGTGTATTTATCAAAATGTATACAGTACTGTATATGAAAAATGCATTTTATATACTGTATGTGAATTAGATGCATACTGTAAGTAGGTCTCTGATCTCAACCAACATACAGCCAATGGAAGTAGCACAAATTTTGGTTTGCCACACTGTTATCATTGCAAGAATTGTCAATACATTTGATTAACTGTTGGTGGTTAGTGCTCTGAGTTGATAATCAAAACTGAGGGTTGATGCACTTCAGCTAGCTTGTCACCAGCATCTGAAGATGGATTTGAGTAATTAAATCAATTTCAGCAAAATAGTGTTTATATAAACTTGAAGGAAATCAGCGACCATGTTAAAGGTGCTTTTAAATTGTCAAGGATAAACAATCTCGCAAAGTTTGTACAAAAACTTAGATGAACGTTGGGTGAGTTTAACATAAAATAAATTAAAATCAATATTCACTAGTTCTCAACTGACACTATTAAATTCCAAATATGACATTTTGTTACGATCAAAGTAATCATAGTGTACTGCAATACTCTATTAATTATGAGTCTTATTTCTTGATGAAGCATATTATAAGCCTTTGATAATCGGACTGTTTTCACCTACGCAGTGCAGAGTGTGGACAATGTTTAATTGTAATATATTTCTTGCTTATTATAAAGCATTGACATAATGATTTGTAAAATAAAAATGATATTCTCCTTAAGCGCTGCACAGACTACCACATTATTTGACAAAAACGTGTCACATGCCTAAATATGGTCATCAAGACATCACATCATGACCATATATAGGCACAGCATGACTATTTATAGGCACAGCATAACTATATATAGGCAGAAAAAGGATTTGATAGTTAGGACAGAGCTTTATGTTAATTTGGTAATTTGCTCTCTGAATTGCAATATACTTGAACTTTACGAAAAAGAGGACAAATTTGATTAATTCTGGATACAAAAATACTGAATCAATATAAATTCTCTACATTGCGTAACTTTAATATTTGAAACTATTGCTACATACCGACTTTTCCAAATTTAGACTTCAATATGCATTTGATTTTCCCGGAATTAGTGTGATAAATTTTAGTTCAAACCGATTTTGTGATAAAATGCTCATTTTCCATGGCTGAGCCATTCTTCTCGTAGCATGGAATACGGACAATTTAAAATAAGCTTCTGGAATTGACTATTACAATTTTCAGCCAAATTCCATATCTTGTGGGATTATGAATTTTTGTGTAACTAAAAGATTGCTGGACAAGGAATGAGTAGTTAAAACAATCTGTCCTCTTACTGACTTGCTTGATGTTGACGTTAAATGTCACCCAAAGTTATTTACCCAGATTTCGCTGCCTAGAATTAACATTGTCGAAGCGGATTATATCCCTGATAGGGATGAATGAATCAGTAAATTCTGGACGACAGACCATTTGCTAAATTGAATGTTGAAGCTAAGAAATTAATTATTGGGGATTTGATGTTAAATTCAAATGGATGCTTTAATACAGCAAACTGTCAACACTAGATTGGACAAAAAATGACCAAAAATCCAGTTGCATTTCGAATCAGTTCCGTAGCATTCGAGAATTAAACTTGACATATCAAACAATCTGTGTAAAATATTGCATGATGATATCCCATCTTGTGTTTTGTTGTTTAATAGGCGATGATATAGTGAGAATAATACTATAGTATTGTTTAATAAGGCCGAATTAAATATTTTTTTTTTTTTTTTTTTTTTTTAATGATTTTGTGTTTATTAATGTGTACTGTAGTTTAGTCTAACTTCTCACACTGAAACATTCAACATTCCTAAAATTAAGTTTCTGAAGATATTTTGCCAATGCTGGTGAATAAGGGTCTAGTTGAAGTAATTGTGATATGAAATTTTTTCCTAATCACATCCTTGATGTTGCTATATCCAATGTTTTTCTATGCTTGGATATTGTGGGAAAGCCATTTCATCCACAGAAAGGGAATCAGTTTTCAGGCAGAGTATTTGATAGCAGCATAGAATCATTGGAAATCTGCACTTACTTACACCAATATCGTGTAATTATATATTTTTTATTAGATAAATAATATATTTAAGATGAAATATGCGCATATAAGATTCTTATCTATTATGTATGCATTTATAAATTAGCCAATTTAAAAGCTATTATTCATAAAACTCCTAAATCACCATTAATGTATTTATTTAAAGTTCTAACTACATTACACTAATGCTCCATTTATGAAACAAAATGCATACATTTGTTAATACCAAATTGAAGATAAGACATTAACCTCTGATGCATTATATATTGAGGTAATCTTTCATCTTATAAATATTTATGAGTATCTCTTATGAATATTCAAAGATAAGTAGGCCTTAAAATATTTTAATATATTGAAAGAAACTGAAAATAATATTTTGAACATACTAAAAAGTAATGTTTAACAGAAATAGACAAAATATTTGAAGCATATTTATTTATTAATAAAAGTTCCATACAAAGTATAATCTATACTCATGAATAATAATGAAAATCAAAGAGTTATTTAAAAGATGAATGCATGCTATAAAGTTAATCCATCTTATTTAGCTGAAAACCGGGAAAGTGCTAGATTAGCAATGGGCTTATCACAAATACATTTTAAAATGAATACTTGCAGTGAGTAATGGAGAATTATGAAATATAGATTTAATTATTAAAGCAGCAAGTTTTTTTAAATTTTATTTTCTGAAAGCTTCGTACTCAGGATGACTATGAACTACCGAGGGAGCACATCAAATTCTGTTGAGTAGACTAACTTGGCAGGCAATTTGTTTTTTTGTACACTTCATTAATTTTATTTCAGAATGTTAACACTATGTTAATTCCATTTTTTATTTTTCATTTTACCAGCTCATTTTTGTTTAGCAAACCTCATTTTAGATTTAGATTAAAAAATGAGAATAACATTTTGTATTTTTTCATATAGCAAAACTGTCTTGAAGAAAATAAAAATAAATGAATAAAAAAATTGTGTGTGAAGTAATCGAAGATACAGTAAGTGCCTAGCGAAGAAATGAAAAATAAGGCTTGTCTCATCTAGTAAATTTACATATTTTTCAAAGGCACCTATTGAACAAAGCTTTCTGTTAAAATAGTGTGTTGTTATTCACTGAAGGATTGTCCACCTCATCTTTATTAGTAGTAGCCTTAAAAAATATGCTATCGATTTTCTTCTACACATTAATTTGAATAGAATTTATAGTGGCATTTCTGCAGTTTCTTAATTTAAAATGACCAGATGCTTCTTTAAGTTTCCTTATAATGAATTGAAATCTGTCCATAGTTTGAATGAAGTTTTTTCCACTATTTTTCATTATGGTTGTATGAACTTGGCTTCTTCTTTATCCCCCTCCTCTCCATTTTTGTGTGTATTCTGCTATGAGCATGTTTACGTCCATGTTTCCTTGGGATTTTAATTATGTGTTTTTAGTATAGTACATGCATTTGATAATGGATACTGATAAAAACATAATGATGACCCTTGATGCAGTGGAGCTGTGGGTTTTGGATGTGACGCTCAACTTGTAATCTGAAAAGCCTAGGTTCAATTGCGATAATTGTGTATGTTTATTACTATTTTATATTGTAATTTTATTACTCTGATAACAAATATACAATCAGTCAACCACAAACAACTGCACGACAGGCTTCATTAAGAAACAGTTTCACATCATGGGTTTCTAATCACCACCTTCAGGTATATAAAAACGTTTTCCAAATTAGTAAAAATTGTCAGTCCTAATACACAGTTGTAAAGTACAGTTAATATATATATTATTGTACCTATCATTAAATATTTCGCTTAAGCATGTGCGCTGCATGAAATAAAAAAATAAAAAATCAAGTTAATTCTCGCACCATGTAATGGCAAATCCAGTGGGATATAGTTACAGCTGTTTTACTCAAGTATACATTATATAGATACAGTAATAGTTATATTTGATTATAGAGGTTGTCAAAAGTTATAATGTTACTATAGTGATATTCATGACATCAGCTGGCTCTCTTTCAACATCCTCTTCATGGTTTGATGTTCTCAGGCTCGTTTTGAATGTAATTAACGAGGACCTGATGAACTTGTAAGTTAATTAAAACAAGCAGGTGATTTTCTTGTCGTGCCACTTACAGAAATCGTTGAGGTAAACGCGAATTTTTCAATTTGAGAGTGTCTGTTAACAAAGAACGTCGATGCTCGCCTTTGCTTTGCAACAGAAAACCGTGTACACAAGGATTAACGACAGAGTATTAGGTTTCATGTTCATGCGAAATAAGGTTGTCTCACCGATTACCTTATTACCTAAAGCTACGTGAAAATAGAGAAGTTATTCTTTGAGATCACTTGCAGTATATATTTTGTGGTATACATATCCAATTTTGTTGTTGAATGAAATTAAACCCAAATTAACTTCTCAGTTATTGTCATATTAGGTACTTTTCTATATATTGTCTTCACATTTTATTGTCGGGTCAGAGTAAAATCAATGTGAACAAAATATAAGATGTCATTTTATTAATCACTCAATAAACTGTATTGATTGATTGATTGCCATCT